CTGAGGGAGCACTCAATTGTGAACTTGTGTCAACAACCTAAAGTGAGGGATGAGCAATATTTGGACATGATCATTATAATTAAATTTATAGTAGGTTGGAAGAGAAGTTCGTTTGGGAGCCTGTTCTTAACCTTTGAAGGCGATGTCAAGTAAAAGAAGTATTCCTTCTGACAATGTTTCCTCTTATTATCTGAATCTGCATGGTAACTCTTACATTCTAAATTTGCTTTACTCAGATACAGCAGGGATTTATTTTCTCACCCCACTGAGTCCTCCCACACAGAGCCTTGGGCATCTGCCATTAAACCAGTTCATCCACTGCATTTGCACTTATCAGTTTATTGTGAGATAATATTATCTGGTGTTATCTTCAGTTTGGAAAAATTAGGTCAAAGCAGTAAAGTTGCTGGCTGAATCCTGATACCCCACCTATGTTCAACAACTGAGGAGTGCTGAATCTGGGCCATCTGTTTGACAATGGTTCAACTGCTATAAGAGCATATTTTGGTTTTGAGTCAGTTAAACCAAAGTCACAAATAAAAATCGAGTAGCATACCCCATTCTTCATTTTTCCTTCCTTTGCTGTATGGTACATCACTCTCTAATGCTTGGATTGTACCAAGATGTTAACCAATGTTGATAATATGTACCTCTGAAGAAATTATAAGCCAAATTCCATACTGAAAGTCTAATTCCGTATTGGTATTATCCACTGCAGTGCCAGTAGGTGTGCGTTACTTTTCTGTGGCTGCCATTGCAAATTAGCACACATTTCATAGCTTAAAACAACAGAATTTGGACTCACTGATTTTTCTTCCTGAGTTTTACAAGACAAATTAAGTTGTCAATGAGGCTGCTTTGCTTTCTGGAGGCTCTGGGGGATAGGTAATCTGCCTCCAGGTTCGTTCAGGTTGTTGGCACAATTGAATTCATGTGGTCCTAGGACTGACACTCCTATTTCCTTACTGGCTGTCAGCTCAGGGCTATTCTCTGCTTCTAGAGGCCACCACATTCCTTGGCCTGTGGCCTCCTTCCTCCATCGCCAGCAACAGTGGGTCAATTCCTTCTCATACTGAATTTCTGACTGACTCTTCTACCTTCCTCCTCCACTTTTTAAGGGCCTATGTGATTATATTGGACCCACCTGAATAATCTAGGATAATCTCCCTCTCTGACTGTCAGCAAATTCCCTCTACAAAATCTCTTTTGCCTCCTAACATTACACACTGACAGGTTCCAGGGATAAGGGCATGGACATCTTTGGTGGGGCTTTAATCTGCCTACCATATGCAGTATAAAATACATATTGCTCAATGAGTACTGGTTGGTTAACTAGGTGTTATGAAGTGCTTCTCGGCCTATCCACAGGGACAAGATTTTGCTTCTTCCAAAGAACCACTTAATAAGATAATGATGGCTTTGGATAGTCTCTTTAGAGAAACAGTATATTGAGAAAATGTTCCTTTTCTTGTATGAATCACCTCACCCTTTCACATTAAGGTGGACCAGTTGGCTTCCATTCAGTATACTTATTAAATATTGAGTAATTTAATAACATGTCAATAGAGATTTATGTTGACAGCTAGACTTAGGTGCCCATCTGTAGACATCATTAGTAGATATTTCTTTGTATATCATGGGAGAACAGTGCTTCTACTTCCTTGGTAGAAATTTTCTTCCCATTACTTCTTTTTATACTTAATGCATTTTTATATTGCAAGAGATTCTTTCACTTGAGTAATGAGACCAAAAAAATCTGGGAAACTTTGGAACTCTGGTTTGTTTAGTGAGCAGATCATTTGTTTCACCTATTCTACTCTGTAAATGAATCCAGAACTAGAACTCATGGCAGAAATGAAAAACTCCTTGTGATTTCTGGTTCAAGATGGCAGACTGAGATCACACATTAATCTCTTCTCTTTCTGAAAATACTTTGAAAAGTAAAAGAAGAAGATCTTTAAAAGATCACATTCATTAAAAATATGCATCCATAAAGCACCATAAAATATCATGAAGACCAATAGTGAACAAGAAAAGTGTGGGAGTTTCTCATATATACATAGTATGTATACTATATAGTATATATAATACATAGTTATATATAATATATTACTATGCTAGTATACAAGTATACTAATAATACTATATATTGCAGATTGTAATAGACTTATGAAGACTTTAGTGCAGACGAGGCTGTAGCCCAAAGCATATTAAGGAGAAAGTTACCGGAGAGCAACAAGCCTTTCTTCCCAGTAGAGCCCAAAGCTTGATGAAGCCTTCATGCATTAATTATGCTAACTAATTAAAAGATTATCTGTGGAGCAGTTGGCCTAAGTATGCATGGCTGGTACAGTGAAACTGAATCAGCTCATTAGATCAGTTATGGTTCCTTTGGTCATTCACTCCTCTCCTAGAATAACTGGTAATTCTAAAGGTCATACATGCCAACCAGTGGGCACTAACCCACCTCCAGCAGGAGATGAGTGCATTTATCAGATCAAAACCAGCCCCTCTGTGATTAAGCCCTTCCCCAATCAGCTATATCTAAGAAGGCTAGCAGTAACAGCATTTGCCCCTAGGTGAAAGAGCTCTCTAAGGAAAGTAAACCATTTAGATAAGTAAGACTCTAATATGGTTAGAAGATGTGGAGAGAGAAGAGGCCAAATAAACTCTGAAATAGCAATGAACTCATGTAATGGACATTGGAGTAGTGGAGAGAGGGAGGGAAGATAGAAATTCAACTTTCACCCAGCACTGAACTACTCTAAAGAATATTATTACTTGAATGAAACCCTCCTTGTCTTGGCTTGCCTTATCGGATGCCCAGATTGTACGCTTGCTTCCACATCCATGCACCCTGAAGCAATAGCATATTGCTAAGTGAAAGAAGCCAGTCTGAAAAGGCTACAAACTGTGTAATTCTAACTATGTGACATTTCGGAAAAGACAAAATATGGAGACAGTAAACATATCAGTGATTGCCAGGGACTTAGGGAAGAGGGACAGAGGGATAAATTGGTGGAGTACAGGTGAGTTTTAGGGCAATGAAACTATAATACATGATATTGTAATGGTAGAAAAATGACTTTATACCTATATCAAAACCATAAAGCTGTTAACACTAAGATTGAGCCCTAGTGTAAACTATAGGCTTTAGTGAGTAATAATTTAGTGAGTAAAAATCAATATTTCATACATTAATTATAACTAGTGTACAAAACTAATGCAGTATGTTAATAACATGGGAAAGCGTTGGTCGGGAGGGGTATAAGGAAGTCCTATGTACTTTGCTCAATATTTCTGTAAACCTAAAACTGTTATAAATAATATGGTCTATTAATTTAAAAAAAACATGGAAATGAAAAACACGGAATATGTTTTCAGAGGTTTGAGGAATAGGTTCAGCATAATTGAACGAAAAAAATATAGACAAAGAAATGTTAGAAAAAAACCTCCCAGAACAGAGTAAAAACTTGACAGTAAAATCAGATTACCCAACAAGTGCCAAACAAGAACATGAAAAAAATATTTGGCCAGTGAAATTTCAGATCAGCAGGGATAAAAAGAAAACACTAAATTTTTCCCAACATAGAGGAATATAACTATTACTTAAAAATACTAATAAGATTGACATTGCATGCTGTTATGGACTAACTGCTTATATCTCTCACAAATTCATATGTTGAAATCCTAGTCCCCAATGTGATGGTACTATGAGGTGGGCCTTTGGGAGGTGATTAGGTTGTGAGGGTGGAGCCCCCCTAAACGGGATTAGTGCCCTTATAAGCAGAGATATGACAGCTTGTTGCCTGCCCCCCCACTACTTTGTGCCATGTGAGGGTACAAGGAGAAGACAGCATCTGCAAATCAGGAGGTAGGTTCCCATCAGACGCCAAATCTGCCAGCACCTTGATCTTGGACTTCGAGCCTCTAGAGCTGGATAAATAAATGTTTGCTATTTACACCACCCAGTCTATGGAAATCTGTTATGGCAGCCTGAGTTGACTAAAACAAATGTATTATAAGCAACTAAATGCTAATAGAAAATAACGCCTTCAACTTTCTGAGGGAAAACTATTTTGAGCCTAAAATTTTAAAGCCAGTCAGATGTGAGGGCAAAATAAAGACATTTATACATAAAAGTATTTGAAATGTTTACAGCCTGCAGTAGATTCTGCTGGTGCCCAACCCAGATTCGTTTTTCCTGGCCAGGGCACCCCAGCTTCTGAGTGTTGGTTGCTAATGACTCACAGCTACCTTCTCTGGAGGATTGCTGCTGTGTGCACTGGAGCTGGGAGCCACCTTCCTAACCTGCTCCTGTCCTCCCATCCCCACCCCGTGGGTGGCCCTCACCCAGCCAGCCAACCGCCAATGACTGACACAAGGGCAAATAAAAATCCAGCCTCCTGGGGGCCAACTTTGCAGTGTAGTTGGTGCTTGTGGGCTCCCTGCAGTGCTAGCTTGAAATTAGTCTCCAGCTGAGACCTTATCCTTGCCTAGTTTTCTTCCCCAGTCTGATCCTGCTTTCTTCACTCCTCTTCTGAGAGCAAACCCTCAGTAAATCACTTTCATTAGAATTCCCATCTCAGGCTCTGCTTCTAGGGAACACAATCTAATACGCTACAAATTCTGAAGAAAACAAAAAAGATTGCTTAAGAGTGCACTCCAACTTACAAAATAAAAAGGAACCCAAGGGACTTCGACTTCTGACCCATGTGGAATAGCACAGACCTAATTTACCTCCAGCATGAAACAACTAAGAAAACAGATGCACCATATAAAACAGTGCTTTTAGATATTGGATATCAGGTATCCAGAACAGTGATCTCCGAGAAAGGGGAAAGAAGTGAGGTGAGCCCTACCATTGCCTGAAGAAAGCCTCCAGGCCCACACCACAGGAAGGGGGCACCGAGGCAGTGCCAGATGGTCTCTCTCAGTTGAGGAACAGGAAATGCAAGTCTAAGAAGGGACTGGGAATCCAGTGGCCAGAGTTTTCAGGGCAGAATTGCAGAGAAGAAACAGCTCTACAAAGACAGAGCGAGCTCCGGGGATCTGAAGAGCATCTTCCTTGAATCTTCAATGGATTCCTGGTTAGTGCGTGCGTGGGAAGAAACTGCCTGAGCTTGAGGGGGGGGAAAAAAAAAAAACCACCTAAAGGAGCAAGAGAATCAGTCCTAAAGCTCAGACAGAGCTGGGAAGAGCCACTGACATGTGAGGGTTGGTTTGTTGCACCAACTAGTGCGAATTACTTTAGTTAATTCACAGGAACTTCTATGTGCTCTTCAAATCCATAGCAAGCACTGCAAAAATAAAAATAGGACGTATAAATATTGGAGACAGTACTATTATTATTCAATAAATGGTGCCAGTAAAAGCGTACATTTAGGAAGATTATATATTAAATCACTATTTTGCACCATGCAAAAAAATATATTCCGGATAAATTATAGTTCTAAATATAAAATAATAATTATCAAATAATAGCTAATGGTTTTGAGCTTTCAGGTTGATCCTAATATAATCTTTTTTGTTATCTTTGTAAAATAAGGATACTGTGACATTTATGTCATAGCGGATAAGGTTGCAGGTTTTGGAGTAAGTCTGCGTGTATTTGTGTCATTCCCCACCTCCATCCCTCACCCTTTGAGTATTTAATCCTGAGATCACGTCCTTTTATCCTTACATCTTTTGTTTGCCACTCTATGGGCCTTTTCATTCTGAGTTATTTTATCTTTCTTTAATTCTGGGAAATTAATCATCACATATTTCATCATATGTTTTCTCCTTTTCCTTTCCTCTGAGATTTTAGTTAGTTGCAATTGGCACTTTTGTTCATATTCATTCTACCTCTTAGCTTTTCTACTTTATCTATATCTATATCTGTATATAATTTTTATATTTATATTATCTTTCATGGTTTACTTTCTAGTAGTATTCCTCTATCTTATCTCACTAATTTGTTTTATGGCTCCATCCATCTGCTATTATCCTATCAATTATTATACTTTTTCTATCAAATATTTCCACTTGGTTCCTTTTTTTATAACTCTTGGTTTCTGATACAGATATGATGTATAGATAATATCCAATCATAATTACTCATTTATAGAAGGTTCAGTGCGTCAGTCTCTCTCTGCTCTTTAGGAATAACATTCATTCAACAACCATTTATTGGACACTTGCCATGTATCAACCACTGTATGAAGCTCTGGAGTTACAGTAGTTACACAAGCTTCCCTTCTCCTGGGCTTTATGTGCTAATCAATAAATTAACATTTAAGTCAGTAGCTAAGTTCTATGAAACAAACTTGAAAGATGGAAATGCTACTGGGGTTGAGTTGGTCAAAGCCATCTCTGAAACTAGTGTTTCAGCAAAGACCTGACTAAAGTGTGCCAAGGGCACAGCAAGTGAGGACCGTTTTAGGCAGAGATGATCACAGCATGTGCAAAGGCCCTGAGCAGGAGACATGCTTAGTATTTGAAGCTCAAAGTCAGTGTATGGAGCAGGATGACAGAGAGAAGAGAAAGAGAGGGGAAATGAGGTTAGAAAGGTAGTCATATAGGCTCAATTGTACCCCACCCCAAATTCATATGTCAAAGCCCTAACCCCTCGTCCCTCAGAATGTGAGTGACTACATTTGGAGATAGGGTCTTTAAAGAGGTGATTAAGTTTAAATGAGGTGTTTTGGGTAGGTCCTAATCCAATGTGACTGGAATCCTTTATAGGAAGAAGAAATTTACACACAGAGTCACCAGGGGCATGTACAGAGTAAAGATCATGTACAAGCCAAGGATAGAGGCCTCAGGAGAAACCAACCTTGTTGGCACCTGGACCACAGACTTCTAGACTCCAGAACAGTGAGGAAATACACTTGTGTTGTTTAAGCCACCAAGTCTGTGGTATTTCATCACAGCAGCCCCAGTAAACTCATACAGGTGACCAGGAGCCTTGAACAGTAAACTGTTATAATTGGAACACAGATTTTATTCATAGAAACTACAAAATTACACGTTCCATTTGTTTTAATGGTATATTTGGTGGGACTTCCTTGAGAATAATATTAATTATTTAAATAATATTAATTATTTCCATTTTTTTTCCAATGGTGTGGTGAGAATTATGGAGAATTTTGCTAAATTTCCTGAAAAAATCACTGAGAAAAAGATGGACATGTTTACAACAAGAACAATAAGAATTTAACTCCCACATGTCAAAAGACAAAGGCCATCATCGAAAGGCAAACCATAAATTATGAGCAAATTTTTGCAGTAAGTAAGAATGACAAATTCTGGATCCTCTATAATCCATAGTGATTATGTTTTGAATACTACCATCCATTTTCTCTGCTTCTGGTGACATGTGAGGATCTGTGCCTTCCTCATTTTCAGTCCATGTGATTCTAGAGAGAAGCCTAAACCCCAGAACTCTAGCAAGTTTAACATAGACTCCAGACTTAACCAATCAGTGAGTCACATTCTTAGTGCCTCCCCAACCCCTCCACCCAGATTGATTGATTCATAAATGGACAAATTACTCAAGAAAAGGTGGTTTTGCTGGGACATCTAGGAAGGAAAGCTTGTTTTTTGTTTTGTTTGTTTGTTTGTTTGTTTGTTTGTTTTTCTCATTGGATCTGAAGCCAAAAAGGTCATAGGGACTGGAAACTATTGCCACCATGTTGGTACCAGCTTGTTACCATGTGGAACCCCAAAATGAGACCAACATAGAGGAAAGAAGAGTTAATAAATCAAGAGAAACGAAATTGTGACCACATCATTTTAGCCCTGAATCCAGCCATACCTGATATTAGCACTAACCCCGAATATTTAAACAGGCAATTAAATTCCTTACTGCTGTCATTGCAGCTAGCATTCTAATTGCTAGCTCTTTCAACTAGGCTGTCAGATTCTTGATGGCAATGGCTATTTCTTTTCTGGTCTATTCTCAGTATTTGGCAAATAGTATATAGAGGTATATAGAGGGCAAGGGTCATATATTTTTACTAAGTGAATGCTTAATTAAGATGCTCTCGTGTTTTAAAGACGCCCTTCAGGACTAATCCAACTTCCTATGTGATTTGGACTTTCACAGCATCATAAAGATATTCTCTGGTCTAGGGTAAATGCATGACTCACAGAGAACTCACTAATACCCTTTTAGTATCACGACTCCATATTTTTGGTGGGTGATGCATTTGATATACTTCCAAACACCCCCATAGCAACTGAAGTTTCAAAAATATACTCAAAAGTCGTATTTTCATCCTTGTCAGCTCATATACTACATATCGTCTCAGATCAGCAGGCCCAACAGCAATCTGCTTTGGAAGTCCTTGTTTGCCTTCTTCCTACTTAGGAAGGAACCCAATCTCCAGACTGACGTTATTCATTTGTTCATTTGTTTGTTCATTCTCCCCTTCGTGTGTTCAGCCAATGTGTTATTAATCTATTTGCTACATAACAAATACCCATAAACTTAAGAGGCTTAAAACAACATCACTTACTGAGTTCATGATGACAGGCTGGCAGTGTTTATTGAGTTCCACTGGGAAGCTCTTCAGGTCTTACTTGGACTCTCTTTGGGAACTGCTGGATTGGCTGGAGGCTAGCTGGTCTATGATGACCTCACCTGAGACAGCACCAGTCTGCTCCATGTGTCATGTCATTATTTTATCCCGAGCATTAAGTCAAGGTTAACCATAACACATAAAACCTTTCCGTTCGGGATGTCACAGGGGAGACAATCCCAAGAAAAAGTACTGATGAAGCTGGAGTAAAAGCCAAATCTGGATTTAGTGAAGGAGAGACTGCATTCAAAAGTATTACTGCAAGAGGGAAAGGGACTATGGCAAATGGGGAAATAGGGGAGCGAGATTATTGCAATAAGGAGAATGCTTTGACCACAAGGTCTGCCAGTGACTCATGAGTTAGGCCAAAAGCTAAGAGTAAACAAAGCTAGAAAGAACGAGGTGTGGAGAAGCCGGGTGAATGGGTGGCATTTTCAGATAGTAAATTAGAGAATATTTTATTTTACTCTGATATCAGTTTATTCTCAGGAAGTGATGTATACTGGCTCAGGCTGAGGGTAGACCAAGGTTTAGAGGCCTAGAGTAAAGACACAGATTAGCAGGAGAACAAACAAACAAACAAAAAACCAACCTATTTTAGTTATGTACTGTTAAAACGAAAAAAACAGTCCCAAAATGGAGTCACTTGTGCTAAGCCTCACCAAGACTTAATATCTAATTTAACTGCAGTTTCAGCCTCTCTAGGAGTAAATTTTAAACCAATCAGCCTGGAACTGCGTGACCAACACTAGTGAGGTCCTACTGAGAAGATCCCTGCCACCCTTGTTCTGCTCAGTTTCTGCCTATGAAAACCTTCCATTTTGTACACTTCTCAGAGCACCTCTCCATTTACGAGCTGAGATGCTGCCTGATTCGTGAATCATCAATAAAGTCAATTACTAGATCCTTAAATTTACTTAGTTGAATGTTTGTTCTTTAAGGATACATACTTACAGGAACTCCTCCAAGATATGAGACTCAAAAGGCAGCCTGAGGACTGAGGCTTATATACCATAGCGTGAGCTAGGGAAAGGTTTAGGGGTCAGGGGCTTCAAAGAAGAGACAGCTGAAATTCAGGGGAAGTTGAGGAGAGGAAATGTTTGGTAAACAAATTTGTCCAGCTATGCAGATAATTCCCTCTGGTGAAAAAGTTATCTCTAGTAATAGCTCTCTTCATGGGTAAGGGCCCTTTTCTAATGTAAATTTTCTTTACAAATAGAGACTTCTCTTTCAAAAGAGTAATTTCTGCTGTTTTCAGAGCTTCTCTGTGTGTACAGTTTCTTAAAAGTAATTAATTCAAAATAACCCTACTCCAAAGAGGCATATTTTGGGGTGGCATATTCTGCTATCCTTCAAAATGTTAAATTGCTTTTATGGTAATAAGTCTCAGTTCTGTCTTTTAGGAAGGAACTAGTGTCATAAAAGCTGGGAGGAAGGTGAACACTCACTGTGGTAAGAAAAAGCCTTGTGTGACGGTGAAGATAAGATTATTTCATACTTTCCGAAGGAAAGAGGCAGGAAGGCCA